TCTGCAGTAATGTTTCATTGTATCATCATATTTTTCCTGTTCCTGAAAAACCAGTGAAGAACGGCAGTTTTCTATGTAAAACAGTAGTTAGCCTTTATATGGATGACATTTTCCTAAAAGCCTAGAAATATTTCACATTTTCAGAAAAACACCCTTTTCCCATGTTGCATCTGATTAAAATTCAAACCTGTATTAACATCTCATTACTTTTGGAAAAAAGTGAATGCTACACTTTTGAAAATGCTTGAAAATGCTCAGTTTCTGCCAGCTCTGGTTTTGCAGTTTCCCAAGTGAGGCTGACCCAGGACCCGGGAGGGCTGGGCCACAGCTATATCCTTGTCAAAACAGTCCCCGGCGTGAATGCTGGCCTTCGGTTGTTCCTTCCTTCCCTCTCTCCCATCCCTACATTGTTTCAGCTGCCGGCCCGTCACGTTTCTCTGAAGCAAGGGAAAGGGAAGGGCAAAAATGACTTTGAAAGAATAACATTTCTTTCTATGGACTTAAATAGAACACTCGACACAAAACATCCTGTATTTTCTTTTAATTGATGACACGTTGACTGTAGTAAGGAGTGAACTAAAAACCAGGGCTGGATGTTCAAATAGGCATTGGTTCAGCTGTGACCTACCCACTGGAGGGAAAGTTGTTCAGCTCTTTTAAATTACAACCTGCCCTCTTCTGTCCACTCCAGATCTTCTCACCCTGCTGTGCTTTTTCTTTTCTCCATTGTACTTATTACCTTCTAACATGCATTCATTATGTTTTTTGTTTATTCTCCGACTCCCCTGGCCACCACGGAAGCCCGAGACCAAGCATTTCTGTATATTTTGCTCAGTGTTGGATTCCCTGTACTAAAAACAGCACCTGGTGCAAAGTAGGTGCTCAGTAAATATCTGCAGCATGAATGAATACATTAGTTTTTTCCTTAGTGTCTTTTCCTATACAGTCATGGAGAAAATAATTTGTAAAAATATTGTATAAAAACATCCTATAAGATAATGTTTATACCTAGTAAAGTAGTTATCCCTTTACCCATGGTTTTGTTTTCCATGGTTTCAGTCACCCTCAGTCAACCGGAATCTGAAAACATTAAATGGAAAATTTCAGAAATAAACAATTCATGTTTTAAATTGTGTGCCCTTCTGAATAGTGATGAAATCTCATGTCATCCACTCTGTCCCTCTGGACTTGGGACATGAGTCCTCCCTTTGTCCAGCCTGTCCATGCTGTAGATGCTCCCTGCCCAGTAGTCACTCCGTAGCTGTCTGGGTTACAGACCGACTGTGGCAGTATCACAGTGCTTGCATTCAAATGACCCTTATTTTACTTCGCAATGGCCCCAAAGTGCAAAGTGATGCTGCCATACTGTTCTAATTGCTCTATTTTATTATTGCTTACTGTTGCTTATCTCTTACTGTGCCTAATTTATAAATTAAACTTTTTCATAGGGGAAAACATAGTATTCATAGGGTTTGGTACTTTCTGTGATTTTGGGCATTTATGGGGGCAAGAGTGGGGGGCGAGGGTTTGGAATGGATCCCCTGCGTGTAGGGAAGGACTACTGTACATACATTTGAAAGTACAGCTCTATTTGGAGTTTACATATCTTGGTGAAGAAGAGATAAAAGAGCTGAATAAAAGAGAAATGTCTCCTGTCACTCTATTCTCTTACTCTGCTTTATTTTTCTTCAAACCCTGACTTGCCCACAGCTGACATAATATTTATTTCTTTGCTTATTGTCTACCTTGTTTTACTAGAATATAAGCTTTTTAAGGGCAGGATCTTGTGCATTTTGTTTGCTGCTAGAGTGCTATTGCTTAGAGCAGGGACTGATACAGAGTGAGCACCCAACATTTATTTTTTGAATGAGTGAATGTTTGAATGTGCATGTCTGTTGCAAACCGTATCCATGCATGGACCTGACTCCATATGAATCCGTCAGCATGGCTGGTCACTATGACCTTGGTACTGCTGAGGTGGACGATGGGTGGGGAGATGAGAAAGGAAAGAAGAGGACCAAGGTGCCACGGACTTTCTAACTTTTCATTCATAGTGAAAAAGATAACCCATTCATTATGTACAAGGGTACTTCAAAATATTCATGGAAAAATGGAATTAAAAGATAATACGAATGTTTTCACAAACTTTTTGAAGATCCTTGGTATACGTAGTATAGTATGAGCCCAGGGACTGTGGTCTGAATCCTGGACAATCCACCTATTTTCAGAACAAACTGAAATAAATTCTTAATTTCCTGATGTCCCATTTTTATTACCTGTAAACTTAAAACAGTGTTACCTAGCCCATAGGTATAGTGGGAGAACAGAAAGGGCCTGATACATAGTAGTTCCTCGGTAAATGTTAACTACCATCATCATCAGCAGCAGCATCACTCAGGTACTGGCAAACTACAGTCTGTGGGCCAAATCCAGCCTGTGACCTGTTTTTATAAATAACATCTAATGGAACACAGCCAATTCAGTTTCTTATTGTTGATGCTTGCTTTCATGCTACAACAGCAAAATTGAGTAGTTATGAGAGACTGTATAGCTTGTAAAGCCTAAAACATTCATTGTCTGGCCCTTTACGGAAAAGGTTGGTGGACTCTCCTCTAGAATATAACTAAGCCTCTGGTCCAGCAAAGAGTGGTTCATGAATGTGAAGGTTAATTCTAGTGTCAGCTTAATTAGATGAAGGAATGCTGAGAAACCTGGTAAAGCTATCTTTTTAGGTGTATCCATGAGGG